ACTACTTGATTAACTATTTGTTATTATGCTGCACGTGCAAGTCATGTCCAAACTCCGCAATATTGTGAGGACTTTCCCTTAGCAGTAGCCACAACGAAGTCTTCTTCTGCACTATCCTCGGCATGACGTTTCGTGAGCATGCCAACAGAGCCCTGCAAGCCTCGTTGCATTATGTTACTTCCAATAATAATTGCAATACTTTATTTTGGCATGTGTACCACACATTTGCATGCCACCGAGATGAGGCAAAAGGAAACAGACGTAACTGTTTCCTGACTAGGCCTAGATCCTGGCTGAGGACAAAAAAAAACAAAAAAACACGGACAGTAGTGAGGTGAGTGAAAACATTTAAAACAGCACAATTCAATAGCATCACTGTAAAGAAGTTATGGAAGATTCATACTGATTTCATAAAGATACGAAATTTATAAACCCTTTCTTGTTGATGTGTTGTCACAGTAAAATGATCATTCGATGTAATTATGATTACATATAGTTTTATTGGTTTATTTTCTTTTTTTATAGAGCTTGCGTGCAGTTATGAGCTCGGGATCAGTGAGATTTACAGATTTTAGGCGTTCTGAATGGCTCCAGATGGCCCAAGATGTTGGTACTGCATTTGTTTTTTCTCGGGGACCAAGAGGAAGCTCAGCCCGCTGGTCCCAGACTGCTGGGATGCATGATAGTTTTTTGCGTGCCTGGCGGCCTTCATATGCCCCGGTTTTGTCCAAACAATTTCTTTGTGACAGCTAGCAGATGATGGCGTGGGGTGCAGTGCACATGGCTGAGCGTTATTCGTGTGGCCATCTTACATTAGTTAGACAATTTTTGGCACTCTCTTGTTCTCTCTTTGCTTTTCTGTCCGCTTTTCGCTTTGTGTGCGCAATGAGTTCTTATCCTCAGCATTCTGAGCCACGTTGTTTTTGAAGGTTGGGCAAATATGCGCGATGTTCGCCATGAGAAACAGCAGTAGAGCGCCCATGCACATCTGCTCGAGTAGTTCACTTACACTAAGGGGTGTCAAACGGAAGCGGGTATAATTCACTGTATAACCACTGTTGAGGTTGGAGCTAGGTCGGTGTTGTAGCTGGTGTCACAGTAAGGATGCAGCAGATGGCATAGCACACACCGTAGAGAGCGCAGCCAGCAGCAAATCTGCAGGCAGCGTGAAGCCACTCGGGACTTTTGGATCACGTGATAGCGGTGGCATGTGACGTAGCATCTATAAGACAAAGCATCTGGAGGTCGCCAGTTATTGGTCCCATACATGGCCAGTCGAAGAAGCTCAGAGTCAGACCATGCTCATGTACCTAGCTGAAAAAAAAATTGTGAGAAGACGCTGCATATTCTTCGATTCGGTAGCAGGTTTCCAGGGTAAACGCTCAAGTGCTTGCAACATGAGCCAGCTACATTGGAGTAACAACTATGCTGAATAAGAAGTGACCTGGGCAGTGGTGGCCGAACTGTGCTAGTTGCACCATTTTGCTACAATTCCATATCGCTGTGCCTTGCTGCACACACTCAAATGCAGCTTGCTCCAACTGCGCTAAAGTTCTCTAGTTCACCTTCTTACAGGCTGTTATATACCTTCCTGTTGAGGTTTAGTGACAGATTACCATTCATGATTTGAGAATGCTAGCTGAATGTGATCCACCTCATCCTTATTCTTTTAGTTATTTTACTCTCATGGTTCAGCTTCGTGGTTACTACCTGCCCTAAGCAGACATATTCAATTACAATTTGCAGTGTCTCTTGACCCATCACAGAGCGCTGTTTTCTGCCGAGACTGTTGCACATTATTTAAGTTTTGTGCATACTAATTTTCAGTCCCACTCTTCTGCTTTCCGTGTCCAGTTCAGTGACCATGAGCTGTAATTCTTCCCGTAAGTTACTCATAGTAAAAGATATTACTCATAAAAATGATGACCTGCGTTAGTAGTACACATTAAAGTGGCACTGCCATTGCCTGACGTAATGATCCTATGTTTGTCAGCACGTCTTGAGCAACTTTTATGCATTCTAATGAAACTGTACGAGCAGTTTCTAGGTCACTAAGATTTCGAAGCGGGGTGGTTTTTCTACCTACACTTTGTCGCAGAAATGGCATGTATTGCTTCTCAGCACGGCTGCACATATGCACAGCGATGTTTTCAGCGACTTGGCTCAGCTTGCGTGTCAAGAGAGTAACGGCAATGGGACAAGTTATCCACGACACATGCGCGTCAACCTTGGGCGCAGGCATACGCAATGCAGTACAAATACAGGGAAGCTATATGAAGCCGCATCGTCTCATTGTAACGGCTTCTTATTTTAAAAAATAGCTGTAAAGGTCCAAATAAATGTGATTAAGCCTAGTTACAGGAACTCGTGTGAAAGCAGAACTACGACAGCGTGCCCAAGTAGCCAGAAAGGCTACTGGCATCGCTATCAAGTCACAGCATTGCTGAATAAAAGGGCTCATCCGTGTTGAGAGCTTTTTAGATAAAAAAATACTGCTTCTAAAATGACTACGAGATTTTGGGGTTAACTACTGCAGCTACAAACACTATGAAAGGTAAGCTTTCTATTGCGCCAGAAAAAACTGGGTCGATAGATATCTGTTGTCAATCTTTTCAAGTAGCACGAGGACTCTACTCAGCAATGGCACAAAATTCGGGAACATGAAATGTCGTGAATACCTATGTGTCGACAAGCAGACTTGTCTTCTTTGAGGCTGCCTTGGGCAAAACATGCTTTCCGCTTTAATCACTGATCCTGCCCCCTTCGTACCAGTTTTAGAGAAAAAAGCAGCAGAAACGTGGCATAAAAGAGAATGGAACAGCGTAAGCGCATTTCCACATTTCTTGCACATTTTTCTTGAAAGTGGAATAGCAACTCACCCAAGTCTTGGTACTGTTTTATTTTTTAGAATTGTTATTTTTTGGAAAACCGGAATAAAGAGCTCAACCAGAGAGAGTCTTTGCAAGTAAAAGAATAATATCAGTCGGTGCTCACACCTCTAATAATTTTTGAGTACAATAGAGCATTATCTAGATTAAGCTGTGGATATCGTCAAATGCACTAACTATGCAGGAAGTCTAAAACAGTATGTTCTCATTTACAGTGAGTTTTCTTTGTTACTTTTAATTGTAAGATTGGTGGCCTTTTTGTTATGATATTTTTTTTCCAGAATGACTTTGTGACATCTGTCATTTGCCGAGACCGTATGTGCTATGCTTGCCTCGTCACTAATGCTTCACTTTAATTCATATTTTGTGCTGTGCAGTGAAGCCAAAATATGGCACTTTTTGATGCTAAAAACCTGATTAATGGCTGCTCTCTGGGTGTTGACCTTGTCTTGTTTACATCGCATCGGCACTTTCAGTAAGTGAGCTAATAGGAATTCTCACTGAAGATTTTGACGTGTTTTGCTCCAAGTTATCCTACATCCCGTTTTGGCTGCTCCAAATCTGCTACAAAACAGACTTTCTTCCTGCTGCAAAAATTGCTTTAAATCAAATTTACTCATGCCAAGATTTTTGCGTCAGCAAGTAGCTATAGACCTCGTAGCAGGGATTCGCGACCTAAAATGCAACTGAGGGATGAATAATTATCACTTTTATTGATTTATATCACTGGTATCTAGCACTATTCAAAACTGACAGCTATCCCGCCAATTTTAGCGCTGGAAGAAGCAGCAGTGGCGCTACCTCGCGGTCACCTCCAGATCACGCCACAGCTGACCACTTCTCCACAGAAAAGAGTGACGTCAGGCTCAGCTGCTCTGCAAACATTTCGTCTGCTAGGCGGACACATTCAGTCGTGCTTTGTCACCTCCATTGCTGTCGTCGCCATACAAAGTGCCGACTCGGGTTCAGTACGATAGTCTGGAGCTTGGAATCCCCGCTATTCGCGACGTCGTGAATTATTTTTGCTTCGATCGACCTTTTGCAGAGCAGTGATTCCGAAATGGACGCCGTTGCAAGCAGCACTGCATAGGGGCCCAAGAATGCACACTTCAGCCATGTTCGCTTGTGTGTCTCGGTTAGCTATTTTGGTGTGTTTTGGCGTGCAAAGCATTGAGGTATATGCAGAGGGGTCAATGCAATATAGCTATCGCGAATGAGCATCAGTGGAGAAATAGAATAAGTTTCCTGCTTGCCAGGTTCTTTTCTGCGCCTCCAGATGGCCCCACCTATCCAGCCTCTCGCAGTTAACATGGTATTACCACTTTTTTGTGCATGCAAAGTCTACAGATGAACTAAAATTCAATGATACCTGGGTGTTACTTGTTAGCGATGATATCTGACTATACGCTGTTCCACTTTTGATAGCTTGTGATCGTGTTGATGTGTAACACATACGTGTTACACATCAACACGTTTTCCCTGCTTCGAACTAGACGACTCCAACTAACCTGCAACCCACAACAATTCCCAGACATGCTGGCCGACAAGCACCTGTTTAATCATGCTCTTTTCTTTCGCTGTTTTTTTAAAGGTGGTTTTTATCTTGATAGTTTCACGAAATCATTCAAACCGATGCGACGAAGATCAGACGTGATGAGCGAGTGCGTTTCTGCGCTTCTGCGCCAAGCGGCGCCACGATAAGAACACTCGGATCGTACATGTCATCCCTGCTAGGGCATCGTCACTCAGGATGGTATTTGTGGAATGTATCACACTGAACACGTAGCGCTAGTGTCGATGTCGCAGGGCAGTCTATTTTCTGTTTTTTCTGCTTAGCTTTTCTATGCTGTTTGACATTGAATTAAAGTAACTTCCACGCAGCGGATGCCATTCAAATTTGGCCAAGAAGACCAATGCATACCAAGCGATCGAATGATGGGCACATCTCGGTCTTGAAATTTGATGTCAGTGCTCCTTTAAAACCATAAAATGGCTGGACCACCACTGCCTGGGGCATAAAATGCCCCCTCGAGGGGGCTTTGTTGTTGTGGAAAGAGTGCCTTCCAGAAAAGGAAGCTTTCTATGTGTGAGTGTGTTTGTGTGTATGTCCAGGAGGCGCATGATGGGGAGGTGAATGCAGTGCAGTTCTCATCTTCTGGCCGTCTCCTCTGCACGGGTGGTGGTGACCGCAAGGTGAAGATCTGGGAGTTCACCCGGGGTGAGCATGTGTGCATTTGCTCTATGCCATTGAGAGAGAGGGCTCTTTTGCATCAGCTCTATGAGTTTTTAGATGGCGAGTGGCATCACGGTGCACCTGTATACTTAAGTACCAAGGTCAACTTAATAGTCCGTATTTTTGAGGAGCAGAAACAAAACTGCAGTGACAGCATGTGAAACTTGCACTCATACGAAATCATGCAAATTACATAAATGATTACTGTTCAACCCATCAATAAAATAGAGGAAAAAGAAAAAAGGGGAAGACTACAAGGTTTTATTTTTCAAAACGAAGCAGTAAAATATTTTATGGAATCGTATACGTCCCAGTTCAAATAATTGTAAAAGGTCACACTTTTACCTCAAGAGCAGAGCAGGTAACGTGATTGCAGCAAACTGGAATTTTATGCAAAAAATAGGGCTAGCGTCCGATCAGGTGCAACTCTGCAAAACGCTGGCGAGAGGCGACGCGGCCACTCCAGCCAGAAAAGTGAGCGTTGTGCTGTCGGTTAATTCATTGCGAGGTAAGTGGGCGAAGCATAGCATGCCGAAAGGCTCAGGCTGTCCCTGTGAAGATAAACTGTGCATGCGCATTTGGCCATAGTGACACTGGAATGATTTCACTGTCTCAAAAAGAACATGAGTTGTGTTGTTATCAGTGTGGACGAAACCCCATGGTGATGGCAAAAGTGCAGCTGTAGTGTGTACATATACCGTAATTACTCGAATCTGACGCGCACTTTTTTCCGGTTAAGCGAGTTTATAAATCGCATGCGCGTTAGAATCGAGTTCGAAAAAAATGAATACGGTCGTTCTATTGCCATCGGCATTTCCAAAATGGCCACCCCCTACGTGCGTCGGCATGGCGCGTCGGCCATTTCTGCCTATGTGTTTCCCATGTGCGGCACTTCGTACGTGTGCAGAGGCGTTCGTAATCTTGTAGTTCATTAGCATTGACGGCATGGAAGGGCCGACTCGAAAAACTCGACGAGTGCATCACGATGCCGCTTTTAAAAGAAAAGTCATCGCGTGTGCCGAAACGGACGTAAATCGGGCCGCATCGCGGTCGTTCGGAGTTTCCGAAACGTGCGTGCGAGACTGGCGGAAATAAAAGCAGAAGATTGTCGACAGCAAAGATTCACGCAAAGGCTTCAGTGAACCGCAGCAAGGTCAGTTTCCGCAAATTGAAGAGCTGCTCGCCGAGTATGTGCTTGAGCAGCGAGCGGCACAGCAGCCCGTGACGACAGAACTGCTCTAAGTGCGGGCTATGCAGTTAGCTTTAGAAAAAGGGCTAACGCGGAGCCAGCTCAAAGCGAGCAGGTGCTGGCTTACTAACTTTAGGCTAACTAACTTTAGGCTTTTCCCTCCGAAAGCGAACGGGCATGGGCCAAAAGTTGCCAGAGGAGTACGAAGAAAAGCTTAACAGTTTTCAGAGGTTCGTCCTAAACTTGCGGCACAACAACGGCTACCTGCTTAAGCAAATCGGGAATGCCGATCAGACGCCTTTCTACTTCAACATGCCTGGCACCACAACCATCGAGAAGAAGGGGGCGAAGCAAGTTCGCGTGCTGACATCAAGCCACGGTAAAACTAGAGTGACGGCAATGCTCCGTTGCACGTCAGATAGGCACAAGCTTTCTCCGCACCTCATATTTAAACGGAAGATGCTCCCGAAAGGAGTCGTTTTCTCGAGTGGTGTGATCGTGCGGGCCAACAAGAAAAATGGGTGCACGTTGCAATCGATGTCTTACTTTTTTTTTTTTTTTGTCGTGGAAACCGGGTGCGCGTTACAATCGAGGGCGCGGTAGAATCGAGTAAATACGGTGATTGCTCTTGCAATAATGAATACCACAACAATAGAGATGAATTTGGTAGGAAGTGGGCTCACATGCAAGTTGTAAGCTCCCTGTAGTATTAGAGTAAATGGTAGTGCACCTCAGATTTTCAATGCTTACAAGTTGACAGATATTTAGTGTAACTGATGAGAAAAATGAGGTTCATATTCTCTGAATCTTTTATTCTTAGTAGTGTGTTTACAGGGGGTGTGTTTAGTAGTGTGTTTACAGGGGTTTACAGCCAAACCAGTTTATAATGCACTCGCCCTTGAAAACGAGCACTTAGTGACCAAGCAGTTTTTTTTTTTTTTTCAGTGCATGTTTATTAATAAGTGCTAACAACTCCTTTAGGGTCAAGTTAAGCCTTTTCGCGTGTTAAATGACCACCCCTGTGTTCTCACAAGTGAGTTAAACCACGCCTGCGCTGAACTCATGCCATTCTACTGAGGTGCAGGACTGCCACGTGGAATCAATCATCTCTGGGGCTAGTTGCGTGCCTGCACATAGCTTACTTGGCTCTCACCGTCACATGCTGGGCCATTCGCAGTCTAATGTATGCATATGTTTGTGCATTCTTTGTGCATGCATCACTCTAGATTGTGCTCGGGTGTGCTAAATAGCCTGTTAGTTAAACATGACAAAGACATGCATTTCGCGAGGAACGAGTGAACGGCAGCACGACGTGCTTGTACCGCCATCACTCCACGCGATTTAAACATGCGCAGCCGAGCAGATATCTGCAGATGACAGTGTGTCGGCAATGAGTCAAAACGGTACATTCATCGCCACCAGCCACATCGCTCTTTTTTGATGCTTATCTTGTGGGGTCTCGAAATGAGGCACACTTCTCTCGGAAAACACGGACACGGCAGACACTAGTTGAACCAAACCAAACAACACATTGATTTAACTGCTCTTACAAGGATGATATTGGCAGCCGAATCAAAATACATCGCAGTGATTAACACGCTAAAACACACTTTACACAATATTTCAATATACTTAACATAAGAACAAACACAAGGTAATGCAAAGGCAGCATCACCGATGTTCGACTCACTGCATGATACAGTCCACAGTCGCCACATCCACGTGATACAGTCCACACCCACGTGATACAGTCCTCGGCCGCCACATCTCAACGGACCTGGTCAGGAGACAACCATCGACGCCAGCTGCCACACGTCAAAGAGGCTCACCAATCTTTTCTGTACAGCTGCCTAGCCTCATTGCCAGGCATCACTGCTGGCACTACAGTACTAACCTATAATGATGATGTTGGTGAAAATTGCGTGCGAGTGCTGCACTACCTACCACTCAGTGGCTGTTATCTCTAAATGCCACCTATCCGCAGAACACGTGTGCCCCATGAGGCGCACGTCTTTACAGAGATTGATAGCACTCCCACAATCTGTTGAGGCACCGCTGCAACCATGCAGAAGTTGTTATCATTAATCGAGAAGTTTCTGCCGTCACTAAGTCGGGAGACCTTTTCGGCTGATTGTGACGTCGGCGAGTTAAGTTGCAGCAAACTTTTATGCAACAAAAAGTTATTGCTTGCATTTATAGCTTCTTGCTTTCGATGGCATTTGGTTAATCGTCGATCGTCATAGATGCAGAGAACGGTGTCAGAAAAGTTTGTCGTGCGAAAGCTGATGGCAAGCCTTCATGCTGTCTGTTATTTCATTTTTTTCCTCACTGCCGTTCTGCCACTGGAAAAATACTCCGAAAGTGAGTGAGGTCGCTCACTTTCCAGGCGTGCAGTGCTTGGCACAGTTAACAATATCTTTGTCGCAAGTAAATTGCAGTGGGGCATGCACAAGCATACTCATGTTTTAAAATGTTTCCCCCCCCCCCCTTTTTTTCCTGTTCTTTGCGCCATATTTTTGCTGCGACTGTGTCGGAAGTGTCCATTTTAAAAGTAGGCTTTGAAAAATGTTTGCTACATTATGTGGGTTCAATGGGTAGCGGGGGAAAAAGTAAATGCATCAAATTATGGTCATTACTAATATCAATAACCAATAGATAGTTATATGGGGGGTTATTATAAATGGGTTTGTCTGTATTAGAACATAGTAGACTTTTTGTGATACGGTAATCACCTATAAGAATTTCGGTTTGATACAAATTTTCCTCTGGTCCCATTCAAGGTTCATTAGCCAACAATTTGGTGAAGTTTTGGCTGTCATAAACTTAATTTCACCCGTGATATTTTATATTACCACCCGCATGCACTGCGAGCCTGCTGTATTGAATAAATAAATAAATATGAACCTACACTGCCTCACAGTTTGAAATGGGTGCTGACTGCACTGCTGGGAAGTCGGAGCAATTATGTGCGAGCAGCATGAACCAGATGGCATATTTGCTAAACGTAGCCCACACAGTGCCCTGGACCAATCCTACACTGCTATTTGTCAGAAACGGCCACATAATCTACTTTGTAGTTGCAATATAACTTGTTTTTTAGTTTTCCTGCCAGAATTGTGAATTCGTGAGACACATAAGTAGTAGTTTGCTTGCAATCGCCTGAATAGACTATATAGCATCTGTTTGTTTGCATGTGCTGAGCTTAATAGAAAAAACATCAGTGCTTGTTTTTGGTTAAACAGTTAAAAGCCACTTTATGAATCATTAAATGAATGTTGCAATGCTGGAATTTCAGTCAGCAATTTATCATAAGCTCTGAGATGGTCTGCACACAAATCTTTGAGGCCCTAATGAGCCCTTGTGTGTCTGTTTTTAAAATATTCGCCCCGAGATAGGGCTACAGGTGACAGCACTGTCACCGCGCTAGTCTGTGGATAGGCGACTGGCGGTGTGCATACCTATGTTCGCCGTGGCACTTTTTTCTGAGCAGTGTGAGCCAATTGCCAGTGGACAGCATGCGTTGACTGCAGCCTATTCATAATAAGTACTTCATTCTATGCTCAATGGATCCATGAGGCTTGCCAGATGTTACTATTACTTGGGAGAGAAACGAAATCTGCCATTGAAAAAGATGTCCGCGCGTGGCGACTGTCTGCGTTTTCGCACTCTGTCACGTTGTGGGGCCGCTGTCACCCCCTGTAAAGTCGTTTGCACCTCGTGGCACATACATGTCTCGCGAATAGGCCACATTTAGGGTTATCGAGCGGTAATTAGCGGCGTGTTTGCGTGCATTTTG